GGAAGCCGAGAGCAAGCTCCGAAGAGGGTGCATTTAAATAGACTTTTAGGTATGAAACCGAGGAGCAACAGCAACGATGGTGACACCGTTGCAAAGCTGACTGTGTGCTGAAGATTCTGAGCACCAGCTTTCCATCCCGGCTCTTCGGCTCTGGGAGCAGAGGCCAAACGTTCGTGCACTAATCCCTGGGCCCCTGGGCAGCCGAGAACAAGCTTTGGAGAGGTTGCACTCAAATGGACTTTTAGGTATGAAAGCGAGGAGTGACAGCAATGACGGTGACACCGTTGCAAATCTGACTGTGTGCTGAAGATGCCCAGCACATGCTTTCCCTCCTGGCTCTTCGGCTCTGGGAGCAGAGGCCAGACATTCGTGCACTAATCCCTGGGCCCCTGGGCAGCCGAGAACGAGCTTTGGAGAGGTTGCACTCAAATGGACTTTTAGGTATGAAACCGTGGAGCGACAGCAATGATGGTGACACCGTTGCAAATCTGACTGTGTGCTGAAGGGGCCCAGCACATGCTTTCCCTCCTGGCTCTTCAGCTCTGGGAGCAGAGGCCAGATGTGCGTGCTCTCCTGTCTGTGCTGCTGGGCAGCCAAGAGCAACAAGCAGAGAAGATGGATTCAAATGAACTTCTAGGCATGAAAGTGAGGAGCCACAGCAATGATGGAGGCACCGTTGCAAAGCTGACCGTGTGCTGAAAATTCTGAGCACCAGCTTTCCCTCCTGGCTCTTCGGCTGTGGGAGCAGAGACCAAACGTTCGTGCTCTACTCACTGTGCTGCTGGCCAGCAGAGAGCAAGCTTCGAAGAGGGTGCATTCAAATGGACTTTTAGGTTTGAAACCGAGGAGCGACAGCAATGATGGTGACACCGTTTCAAAGCTGACTGTGTGCTGAAGATGCCCAGCACATGCTTTCCCTCCTGGCTCTTTGGCTCTGGGAGCAGAGGCCAGACGTTCGTGTTCTTCTCGCTGTGCTGCTGGGCAGCCGAGGCCAAGCCGCGGAGAGGTTGCATTCAAATGGACTTTTAGGTATGAAACTGAGGAGCGACAGCAATGATGGTGACACCGTTGCAAATCTGACTGTGTGCTGAAGATTCTGAGCACATGCTTTCACTCCTGGCTCTTCGGCTCTGGGAGCAGAGACCAAACGTTCGTATTACACACACTCTGCTGCTGGCCATCCGAGAGCAAGCTCCGGAGAGGGTGCATTCAACTGGACTTTTAGGTATGAAAGCGAGGAGCGACAGCAATGATGGTTACACTGTTGCAAAGCTGACTGTGTGATGAAGATGCCCAGCACATGCTTTCCCTCCTGGCTCTTTGGATCTGGGAGCAGAGACCAAAACATCGTGCTCTACTCGCTGTGCTGCTGGGCAGCCAAGAGCAACCAGCAGAGAAGTTGGATTCAAATGAACTTCTAGGTATGAAAGTGAGGAGCGACAGCAATGATGGAGGCACTGTTGCAAAGCTGACTGTGTGATGAAGATTCTTAGCACCAGCTTTCCCTCCTGCCTCTTCAGCTCTGGGAGCAGAGGCCAAACGTTCATGCTCTACTCACTGTGCTGCTGGGCAGCCGAGAGCAAGCTCCGGAGAGGGTGCATTCAAATGGACTTTTAGGTATGAAACCGAGGAGCGACAGCAATGATGGTGACACCGTTGCAAAGCTGACTGTGTGCTGAAGATGACCAGCACATGCTTTCCCTCCTGGCTCTTCGGCTCTGGGAGCAGAGGCCAGACGTTCGTGCTCTACTCACTGTGGTGCTGGGCAGCCAAGAGCAACCACCAGAGAGGTTGGATTCAAATGGAGTTTTAGGTTTGAAACAAAGGAGCGACAGCAATGATGGAGGCACCGTTGCAAAGCTGACTGTGTGCTGAAGATGCCCAGCACATGCTTTCCCTCCTGGCTCTTCAGCTGTGGGAGCAGAGGCCAAACGTTCGTGCTCTACTAGCTGTGCTCCTGGGCAGCCAAGAGCAAGCTCCGGAGAGGTTGCATTCATATGTACTTTTAGGTATGAAACCGAGGAGCGACAGCAATGATGGTGACACGGTTGCAAAGCTGACTGTGTGCTGAAGATGCCCAGCACATGCTTTCCCTCCTGGCTCTTCGGCTCTGGGAGCAGAGGCCAGATGTTCGTGCTCTACCTGCCGTGCTCCTGGGCAGCTGAGAGCAAGCTCCGGAGAGTTTCTATGCAAATGGACTTTTAAGTATGAAAGTGAGGAGTGACAGCCATGATGGAGGCACAGTTGCAAAGCTGACTCTATGCTGAATATGATCAGCACATGCTTTCCCTCCTGGCTCTTCGGATCTGGGAGCAGAGGCCAGACGTTCGTGCTCAACTCACTGTGCTGCTGGGCAGCCAAGAGCAACCACCAGTGAAGCTGGATTCAAATGGACTTCTAGGTATGAAAGTGAGGAGCGACAGCAATGATGTAGGCACTGTTGCAAAGCTGACTGTGTGCTGAAGATTCTGAGCACCGGCTTTCCCTCCTGGCTCTTCTGCTGTGGGAGCAGAGGATGAACGTTCATGTTCTTCTTACTCTGCTGCTTCTTAGCCGAGAGCGGGCACGGGAGACGTCGGATTCAATTGGATTTTTAGGTGGGTGGGTGGCACCGTTGCAAACCTCACTGAGAGCTGAAGGGGCCCAGCACAAGGTTTTAGGTCTGGTTCTTCGGCTGTGGGAATAGAAGCCAAACATTCATGCTCTACTCACTCTGCTGCTGCTCCTCCAAGAGCCAGCACCAGAGAGGTTGTATTCATATTGACTTTTAGGTGTGAAAGCAAGGAGCAACAGCAATGCGGGTGGCATCGTTGCAAAGCTCACTGTGTGCTGAAGATGCCCATCACACGCTTTCCCTCCTGGCTCTTCAGCTGTGGGAGCAGAGGCCAAACATTCATCCTCTACTCACTCTTCTGCTTGTCAGCCGAGAGCAACCACCGAAGAGGTTGGATTCAAATGGACTTTTAGGGGGGAAAGCAAGGAGCGACAGCAATGCTGGTGGCACTTTTGGAAGTATCAACTTAATTCCTAGAAATGGAGTCCTCCAGAACACTGTTACCAACATGGTAACCCACCCTAGTTAATGTAGCAACACAGGTTGAATATGCATTAATTGCAAAACTTTTATGCATAAATTGCAAAAGCGATGTGACGGGGTTGAAGCCAGATTTGGATGCGTGCCCCTTGTTTCCCAGCGCTGCAATAAAGCACCTCATATAACCATTCCAGTGGTTATGTGTCAGTTCTTACGCTAACAGTACCATTGCAGAGCTCACCATGTGTAGGTGATGCCCAGCACCGGCTTTCAGTCCTGGCACCCTGGGTGTTGGAGCAGTGCCTAGACATTGGCACTCTCAGGGGTGTGCTCAAGGACACCTAAGTACAGTCAATACAAGGGCTAGTATACAGATGCAGCTTCAGGTCCCAAATCAAGGTTGGATTGCTATGTTGGTGGCACCATTCTGGAGCTCATTTTGTATAGGTGCCTGTGAGAGACCTTGTTTTATGCTGCCTGACTGAAAGCTTGTTTGCAATACTGTTGATCTCATTTGAGGGTTTAGCATTTAACCAAGCTCAGCTTCTGTGAACAGATAAGGAACAAGCAGCCACCCAAAACCTGTTTGGATCAAGGGCAAGGCAGGCATGTCACTGTGGACGATGTGCCTGGGCATGGGTAACCAACTATAACCCCAGCACCAGCCCAGCCCTTGGGAAATCACCCCGACCAGGTCAAACACCACCAGACCCATGGCTCAGATGAACAAATTAGCTCCCTAAAGTGCAAACATCCAGTCCCTGCTCTTAAACCTAAAGTGTTAGGACAGAAAGCTGGCACTGGGCATCTCCTATACAGGGTGCCCTCCAGAACATGCCACCAATATGGATATCCTCACTTACTCACCTAAAACTCCATCTGTGTAAAGGATCACTGGACAGCGCTCTCAGGCATCCCAGAACCCAGCTCCCAGAGTGCACACTTCCAGCCACTCTCACCCTTTCTACACAACCAGTGCTAAACTGCTAACCTGAAATGAACATGTTTCACATAGAGATACTGAATGTTACATGTGCTGCTGAGATTAAAGCAATCCAAAACCACACTCTGGAGAAACCTCAGGTGCTGTAAAAATAAAAACTCATGCCAATAAAGCTGAGAGAGCTCAAAGACACCTAAAGAGTGAAGGAACAGCAAAGAACTGATAGCAGAACAGCCCAAGAGCTCAATGAGATCCCTAACAACCAAAGTGCAAATGTCCAGTCCCCGCTCAAATACCCAAAGAACCAGGACAGAATGCTGCTGCTGGGCTGCTTCTGCAGACAGTGAGCTCCGCAACAGTGCCAACAGCGTTGCTGTCGCTCCTTGCTTTCCCACCTTAAAGTCCAATTGATTGCAACCTCTATGGCACACACTCATTGGAGCATTCACAGCTTCCTTGGGCAATCCATTTCAGTGCCTCACCATCCTCACAGTAAAGAACTTCTTCCTTATATCTAACCATCTAACCTCAACTCTCCTGTTTAAGTTTGAATCTGTTACCCCTTGTCCTATCACTACAGTCCTTAATGAAGTCTCTCTCCAGCATCCACGTAGGACCCCTTCAGATACTGGAAGGCTGCTGTGAGGTCTCCACCCAGCCTTCTCTTTTCCAGTACCAGTAGGGATACTGCATGTTGGAGGATGATTCCTTTTAGAAGCAATAATAATTAGTGACTTATTATGGCATTTTGGACAAAAGCCGCAAGTCCGTGGCTGGTTTCGCCGCTCCTATCAATGTACAATGCACAGAGCTGGGATCAGTGCTGGATCAGAAGCTATCAGAGACCTGCCCTGCAGTGGAAGGACCCATTTGGCCAAGCCAAAGCTGGGGCTAGCAGAAAGGGTTCCATCCACCAGTACTGAGACATGCTGGTGGTCCTTGAGCATCATGAAGAGTACTCTGAAAGGTCGCTATGGCAGTGGAAGCCACGCCCCCAGGCAGTGACACAGACCCTGGTTGAGGCAATCGCTTTATTGAGGAGCAGGGGAGTGGCCGGATCAAGGGGAGCGGTCAGGGATCCCCTGCAATGCTGATGGTGGCCAATGAGATGGTCTCGGTGGAGAGGCTCCTCCCCTTCTCATAGATGAGGTAGAGGAAGCGGGAGTGTCCCTGAGTGCCAGGGGGTGGGGCAGCCATCGAAGAGTACCCGCTGGGCCCCGCCCACACCTGCAGGCCATGCCCCCACCACGTGGTGCCGTTGGTGAAGCTCCAGCGCAGGGTCAAGTTCACTCCTGTTTGGAGGGGAAGGATCCAGCATCTGTTAAGCCCTGCCCACACAAAGCCACGCCCACAACAGACATGCTCAGCAGCAGCCCCATGCCCTGCAGGCAACAGGGGGTAAAGCTGGGAGTTGGGGGGCCCAGGAGGTGGCTTTGGGGGTCGGAGATGGGAAGTGAAGGTTTAATGGGAAACAAGAGGAGGGCCAAGGGGCAGTGATGGGTATCTGGGGGCCCTGGGGTGTGCTGGTGGCATTAAGAGGGGTCAAGGGAGGGTAATAGGCGAGCAACAAAGAGCTTAGGGAAGGGTCAGGAGGGCATTAATGGGGGGTAAGAGGGGTGTTGCGGGGCTATGGGGTCCCCCATTGGGGAGTTAAGGAGGGGGTAAAGAGAAGGGTGAGGTCTTGGGTGTGTAAGAGGAGCATTAATAGAGGACAAAGGGGGGCACTGAGGGGCCCTGGGGGGACTTTGGGAGTCTAGGGTGAGCATTAATGAGGAATAAGAGAGGGGCTAATAGGATATGGGTGGCAAGAGGGAGCCTGCAGGGAGCTCTGTGGACATCGGGGTGGGGGGTTAAGGGTGGGCCATAGGTTTGGGGGGGGGAGGCCATTACCCTGCCACTGCCTTCAGCCTACACCCTCTGCCCGTAGGCGACGCCCCACAGCAGTCAAGCCCCACCTGCCCACCCAAAGCCTCACGCCTCTCCCACTCACGCTGGCTCTCGTGTGCGGGATTACTGAAGAACACGAGATCCCCGGTGACCAGGACCCCAGCGGCCACCGCAGGGTCCACCAAGGCGGGATCGAAGGTGACAGCGGCAGGGGGGAGGGTCTCACCACCATCCCAGCTCCGCGCCACCATCCGGCAGCGGCACCGGTACGAGTTCTGGTTCCGGATGTTGACGGCGATGGAGCCATCAGGCAGCTCATAGGGCTGCGGTGCCATGAGAGAGGGGTCACTGTCCAAGACCCCCAAAAGACAGGGGCTGAAACCCATTTAACCCTTAAAGTGTGGGGTCCCGCCTCTAGCCCCCAAAATGAGGATCCCCCCCTTCCCCCCACACCCTGATTTTCACCCTGTCCCTCCTACCTGGCACTCATCAGGGGTGAAGTCCCGGGAATGGCGGGGGGCCCCAAAGGGAATGGCGGGCAGCGACCCACCCCGCCGCCACCGTAGTCCCCCGTCATCACTCAACAGCAGTGAGACCCCATCCCGCTCCAGTGTCCCATGGCCACAGAACACCAGGCGCCCGCTGCCCGGTGCATGCTGCTTCTGCGGAGGTGGGGCACAGACACCCTGTATGTGCATCCTTGTGCTGTCTCCCAGCTCTCCCCTGAACCCCACCTCCCGCCTGTTCCTTGATGCCTGGGTCCCTTCTGACCCCCTCTCTGGGCACCCAGACCCCTGGATTTTGGGGTTATCACCCCACATATCCCAAAGGTCCCCTCCACCCCAATCCCTGTGTGCCCCCAGGACCCAAACCTCCAAGCCCCAACACCAGCCAGATGCCTGGATCCCCCCAAACCCCCACATCCCCCACCCCAGGGTTCCACCCAAACCCCTTTCCCAAGCTTTAATGCCTGGGTCTCCCCAAATCCCCCCTTGGTCCCCCCCATCTCCCCTTGTACCTGGATGCCATAGCCAGGCCCTGGGGCAAACACCTCACTACCAACCACCCCTGAGAGGTTCTGGGGAGGTCCCCATGAGCGGCCACCATCACGACTGCGCAGGAGGTGCGTGCTGGGGGGGCCGCAGGCCTGGGGGGGGTGGGCGCAGCGGGCAAACAGCAGCAGCACCTCATCCCCCACCACAGCCAGGGCCCCAAGGTTCAGCCCATCCACTGCCGAGCCGTCATCTGCAGCCACCCGCGTTGGGCCCCACGTTGCGCCTGGGGGAAAACATGGGCAGACCCCCCTGGAGCCCCCCAAGCCCCATAATCTCCCAAGGACTCAAAATCCTGCAGGGGACACGAAGCACCCTCAGAACCCCCTCCAGGGAGCTCTCAGTCCCCCTCACCCAAGACCTCTCCAACACCCCCCAGAGGCCCCTCAGGAACCCCCAGAACTCCCCAAGGATGTCTCAGACTCCCTACATCTCCTTCAGGCCCCCTCCCAAGAACCTCTTAGACCTCCCACTGAACCCCCATGAACTCACCCGAGACCCCATAACCTGCCTTGTGCCCCCCACTAACCCCCTTGACCCTGCCAATACCCCAATGTCCCCCTATAGCCACCAACACTTCTCTTCCCCCCCATTAATGCCCTCCCAACCAGTCCAAAACTCCTTTTCCCGCACCACCATTACTGCCCAGACCCCCCCCCAGACCTCTCAAATCCCCCTCCCCCCAAGAAGGGCCCCCCCCCCCCACCCACTTGCACACACACACACCCAGCCCTCTCTGTGTCCCCAGGCCCACACCCCCGGCCTACCTCCATCGGGGGAGTGGCGGCAGGCGATGAACTTGGCCCCCACGTCGGCGGCCGAGCGCTTCCGGCCCTCGGCGCAGGCCACCAGCGCCCCCCCGCGGGTGGCGGCCACCAGCGGCACCCGGAAAGTGTGGACCCCGCCGTGCCCCTCCCCGCTCACCCACAGCAGCTGCTCCCGCACCACCCGCGGCCGCACCTGGGGGGCAAATGGGGTCAGAGGGAACCCTAATGTAGAGTAAGAGGGGTCAAAAGGGCAGTAGCGGGTGTTGGGGTTCTGGGGGTCCGTCGGCGTGTACTGGGGGGATCAAGGGAGGGGAAAGAAGTTTTGGAGGGGCCGGCGGGCATCAGTTGGGTAAAGAGGGGTGTTGGGGGCTACAGGGGGGTTCTAGGGGCACTGGGGGGGGCAATTATGAGGGACAAAGGGGTGTTGCGGGACCCCAGGATGTGGGCGGGGCACGGGGGGTGGGCGGATCCTGTCGTAGCCCCACCCCCACCCCGGGTACCGTGTCGGGGGTCGCGACCCAGCGTGCTGCGGCGCCCGCGGCCAGGAGCAGACCCGGGAGGAGCCAGCGCGGGGCCATTGCGGCCCCTTTAAGGCTCTGCTGGAGTCACATGACACCGTTCCCAGGGGGCGGGGACCAAACATTAAAAGGGGAATACCCGTCTGGGAACGCGGTCCCCAGCCTTAAAGCTGCAACGGCCGGAGGGAGGCGGGGCAGAGCCAAGCCTTAAGCCGGCGGAATTGGGAGTGTTTACACAGGATTGGGTTTAGGTGATTTATCCAAAATTGAATTGAAATTATGCGTATAGAGACTGAAAATACAAAGGAATAAGGGAGACCCACTTAGTCACGAGGTTCACACCAGATCCCTTTGCTTCCTAAACCCCTGACAGAGCCTAGCTGCTGCTGGATCTAGTCCCAGTCTTGGGACGCTGGGCTCTGGTCCCGAGCCCTCCGCCCCGCCCACGAGCCCAGCCCCATGCTGGGCTGCGCTCCCCCGGGCTCTTGGTTCTCTCCCAGGCTTCAGGGGCAGGGATACAGCAGACTGAAGGAGCAGCTCAGTGAGCTGGTTCCAGGGGAGCACCTCAATGTTGTCGGTGCCAGGCGAGCATTCCACGGCTGTCGGTTCTAGAAGAGCATCCTGCCGTTGTCAGTTCTAGGGGAGCATCCTGCTGCTGTTGCCAGGGCAGCATCCCACTGTCATCAGTACCAGGGCAGCATCCCTCTGCTGTCAGTATCGGGGAGCATCCCTCTGTTGCTGGTACCAGGGCAGCATCCCTCTGCTGTCAGTATCGGGGAACATCCCTCTGTTGCTGGTACCAGGGCAACATCTCTGTTGTCAGCACCAGGGCAGCATCCTGCTGCCATCAGGACAGGGGCCATGGAGCCAGCAGAGGCTCCCGGGCGAGAGCACTGGGCAGGGGCAGAGGCACGCAGGAGGCAGAAGCCACCCAACACGAGTGAGATCCCTCCCATTCCACTCCCGGCCAGGGCTGCCCGTGGGCACTGGGAGGGGGCCGGGCTGACGCCTCCCTCCCCACCCAGCCCTGCAGCGAGCGGTGGTCTCGCTGCTGCCGGCCCCGTGCAACCGGTTCCTCTGGAGCCGGCCGGACCAGCACCGCTGCAGCAAGTTCTTCCTGGGTGCCAGCATCGGGACCCTCCTTGGCCTTGGTGAGTGCTCCCGGTGCCAGGTGTGGCAGGGAGCTGGGGGTACCAGGGGCTCAGGGCGCATCCACTGCTCTTCCAGGGCTCTGCCAGTTCTTCATCGTCCCCATGAACATTACAGAGATGCGTAAGGTGCAACTTTCCTATGGGCTGGCAGGTGAGGACAGGGCCAGGAGGAACTTCTTGGGGTGATGGGAAGCATTGGGAGCCCTGAGGGGTCTCGATGGGACCATGGGGACAGCTCCATGCTCCCACAGGAGTGACTGCCTTGGGCTGGGCCATGTCCCCCCACTTCCGCTGCGCCAGCCTGCTCGTGGTCCCCAAATTCTTTGGCAAGGAGGGTCGGGTCTACATCCTCTCCCTTGTCCTCGCTGCCATCTACAACGGTAGGTTGCCCCCTGCATCCCCGTCCTCCCCATAGGGTCCCAAGGGTCCTGAGCCCCAACTTCCTGGCACCAGGGCCCGTGGCCAACATCTGGCACAACCTGGAGGAGGTGACGCACTCGCTGGGCTGCGTGGCAGAGCTGCAGGTCAACCACAGCCGCATGCTGTGGCAGATGTCCACGGCACCCCTGCGCAAGGTGATGGAGGACATGGCGGTGAGGCAGGGTGTTGGGGTGGGCGGGAGGGGGGCTGCACGGAGCACGGTCAAGCCTCTGTGTGTGCCCCCTGTGGCAGAGGAGTGGGCAGATGCTGAACTCTGAGGTGCAGAACATTTCACGTGCCTTTGTGGGGCTCAATGAGGAGGTGGCCAGCGAAGCTGGGTACGACCTGCGGCAGTCCCAGCGCACCAAGCCCCAGCTGGCACCCAGCACCCAGCAGCTCTATGAGACCAAGACCAAGCTGCGCTGCAATAGTGAGGAGGGAAGGGAGTTGCACCCCATGGCACCAGCCTCACCAGGCACCACACGTGGTGTCCGAGATGGTGGGGCTGGGGCTCCATCAGCTCAGGCTCCTGCCCATCAGATGTGATCGAGCTGGGCATGCAGCACTGCCGGGACTGGTTTGACACCAAGTATGATGCTTGCATGGAGCAGATATTCGTGCCCCTCATCAACCACCTCCTCTGCCTGCCCATGAAGTTCAAGTTCCTCTGCCACATTGTGAAGGGTGGGTAGCGTGGGGGACCCCTGCCCTGGTCACCCTGAGTTGAGGCAATGCCAGCATCATCCTCACTGTGTCCCACAGTTATGAATAGCTGGTGCAGGGACAAGATCCCCGTGGAGGGCAACTTTGGGCAAACATATGACATGATGAACAGCTCAGTCAGCAACCTCAGCCAGGAGTTCAGCGCCAGCATCGTCTTCCAGGTGGGTGCCATGTCCCCTCTGCATGGGGCCAGGCTGGGATGGGACCCAGCCAGACCAACAGCCCCTGTGCTGCAGGAGGATCACCGTGAGATGCTGTTGGTCACCACCAAGGTGTCCGCAGAGCAGCTGATGGAGGAAGTGACCTCACACTTCCAGGAGCACAGTGCCCGCCTGGGCCAGACTTTCTCCATCTTCCGCCTGGTGCTCTCCTTCTCCTTCATCCTCGTCTTCATCACGTGAGCCCTGGCATGGGAGGGCGTGTGGGGTTCAGGCACAGAGAGGCAGGGTCTTCTTTTGGCAGCAGGTCTGGGGGGAGGGGAAAGGCATGAAGACAAAGAGGGAGTCCTGGAGAGCCAGTTCCTGGACCCCCCCTTCTCTTGCCAGGGCTTTCTCCTACACCAAGCAGTACTGTCAGGACATCTCCTACGACAACCTCTACATCACCACCTACTTCCGTCAGATCGATGCGCGCCGCAGGAAGGAGGTGAGGGGGAGCAGGTGGCCCTGCACTGGGGCCGGGGGCTGCAAGGGCTGTGCTGAGCTGCCTCGGCCCCTTCCCCAGCGCAAGCGGACGCTGCTGCCGCTGCTCCGTGCAGAGGCCTCGGCCTTCATCTTCCCGTGCCGGCCCATGGTGCAACCGCTGGAGCTGCAGAACATGGTGAGGGGTCGGGGAGGTGACACGACGGTAGGTGGTTCAGCTGGGGGAGGCTGCAGGACAGGCTGCAGCAGACGCTGTTCCCCGCAGGTGCTGGAGCTGCTGGAGTGCATCCCACCCCTGCTTTTCCTCCTGCTGGCCTGCGCCATGGACCACGTGCTGGTCAGCATGCTCAGCGCCATCCAGCAGCACTCTTTTGTGCAGTACTCCTTCCACAGTGAGGCCCGAAGCCCACGATGCCCACAGCAATGCAGGGGGGGATGCGTGTGTGTGTCCCTCCACAGCTTCACATGTTCCCACAGGCAGCCACCACTTGTCCATCCACGTTATGGGCAGGTCCCTGATGGCGCAGCTCCTGCGGAGCACCATCGGCGCCCTCAACACCTCCTCTGACACCCTGCTGGAGACGTCCAACTTGGGTGAGCCCCCCTCAGGGGATGGACCCCCCATGCCCATCACAGCTCCACATCCTGAGCAGGAGGCTCAACATCATGTCCCCAGTGTGCCTGCCGAGGCCGCGCAGCATGAGCCAGCACCAGTACCTGAGCAGCTGCCTGCCCTTGGCCATGCTGGTGCTACTCTGCCTGGCCCAGGTCTACATATACCGCTTGCGCCGTGTCATCGCCGCCTTCTACTTCCCCAAGGTGAATGGCTGCCCCTCGGTGGGGGGGCAGATTTTGGGGTGAGCCCATAACCTGGACCATAACCTTGGGGTGGGCTCACGGTGTTGGCAGAGGGAGAAGAGCCGCGTGCTCTACCTCTACAACAAGCTGCTGCAGCAGCGCCTGGACTTCATCCAGCGACAGCGGAAGCGCATTGTCCAGCGGGCACAGCAGCCCCCAGGACTGGTAAGCGGAGCTTCACTGTTCCCCCCGATCCCAGGGTTCCACTCCGCCATGGAGCCTGCAGCTCAATCCCACACGGCTCCATCCCTAGAGCACAGCGCTGGTGCACTGGTGCTGCCGCCGCTGGCCCTGTCTAAGCCGCTGGATGCGCCGGAGCTGCACGGTGTGCGGGGTGCGTGTGGGGCCCCCAGAGCCCGCCTGCCCCACGCCCGCCTGCATGGCCCCGTACTGCCGGCAGTGCTGGCATGAGGCGGGATGTGTCTGCCTGGCCTGTGCCCCCCCAGAGCCCCGCCTTGATGCCGACAGCAGCGACGAGGGCATGGGGTACACGGGCTGAGGGCATGAGGCAATAAAGTATGTGAGACCCCACCTCGTGTGCAGCAAGTGTGGTCCATGGGAGAGAGGGTGGAAAGGGGCTGGAAAGGGGACCTTAAAGCTCATCCAGTTCCAAGCCCCTCCATCCCCCTCCCTTAGCCCCTGTTTCCCCCTTTCTCCTAGCCTTTCTCACCTCACCACTCCCTTGATCATCAGAGACAACAGGAGCAACATAAACTTGACCCTAAAGGGGAGGTCTCACCCCTAAAGGCAATGGAGGAGCATATGAGCTTGGCATCACTTTCAAGCCACCCGGGTCCCTGCACAGAGGGAAGCTCCGCAGCAGTGTGGAGGGAGGGGGTTTATTTCAAAAGACGGTAAGACAATTGTTCCGTTTAGTATCAAAACACTTGATAAGGTTCTTTTCTCCGGCTTGGCCCCTAAACCGGCTACAACCAGGCAGCATGCTCACACAAGAAGCTACACACTGTGAGCCTGACACGTCTCCACACTCACACCTCACAGCGACACGTTAGCAATGCACAGCAAGATGGCTTGTACCTTATTAAGACACTAAGAGCACTCCTGGCCAGGGGAGAAGGCCTCGATCCCTTCCCTTGGGGTAGGCAAAAACAGCTTCCCCAAGCAAACAAGGCTGTTGTACTTAAGCTGTTGAGTGTAAGCCAGCACTGAGTGCTGAAGCTTGGTGCGTGAGCACTCGGTGAAGGCAAATTCAGCTCCTGTGTAGCAATGGGTTAGAGGGGCCGTGGCTTCTTCAAGGGGAAAAGAAGTGTCCAACAGCGAGGGGGAAGAGAAACAACCCCTGTGAAGGTTCAACTGGCCAGGGAACTGCCTGGTTTTAGAAGTCTCCTTCCACCCAGGTTGCTTTTCCACAACAGTTACCTTAAAGCTGAGAAACTGAACTGCTCTTTTGGCAAACAGGCTCCTGGAAAGGAAGTTTTCCCAATGGGCTCATATTACTATCCCAGCTGCTCCCATTAGGTGGCCCACAGTCGGAACCATGAGCCACCGCCCACTTCCTCCCCGGCCAAGGCAGGATGACCCAGAGCTGGTTAACAGAAAGTTAATACCCAATTGTAAATCCAAGAGCTTTGAGTGCAGCTCAGCAGCCTCACTGGTTACTTGGAATGTTCACACTGGTTACTACAGAAAGAAAAGGTACTTACAAAATGTGTACAACTCAAAACATGCTCCCAAACATTATTGCATTGCTCGTTTCCCTTAATAACGTTGTTTGAAGCTCTGCCCAACCTGATGATGGCCTTTAACCCCGAGGCAAGGGAGAAGAGCTGCGTTTGGTCAAATTAGCAACAGGAAGCAAACTCTGGTCCCAAGGGTTAGAGGCCAGCAGCGGCTGGGCCAGCGTGGGCATGGCGTGGCAGAGGCAGTGGTGGGGATCCATTACATCTCGTTCAGGTCTAGCAGGGTCTGGTCCAGCATTCTTTGCGTGCAGAGATGCTCCTCTTTGGTGGATTTCAGCTTATCTGGCAGGAAGCAAGAGTCAAGAATTACCAGTGAGCCTCAGCCCCAGGAGATGCCTCAGCCATGCCAAGCATGGCACAGCCCCTTCCCAGCACTGCCACAGCGGGGCCTCAGCCCAGGGGGGTTGCCTGGGTGTAGGAGAAGCTCTGGAGTTACCTGGCTCATGGGTAGCCCCCTCGCACAGCCAGTGCTCCTATCAGCACAAATACCATGTGCTCTTAGCGCTCTGGGCTGTGCTTTGCATGCAGTTGCCTCCAACTGGAGTTGGCTTCACCCAGGGATTCAACACCTCCAGACAGCCCAGCAAGGCACCCAAGAGCCAAAACACACACAGAACCCCCCACCCCCCACAGGTACAGCTGCTTGTGCCCCCCTTCCCCAGCACAGAGATGCTGAGCTTGTCACCAAGACCGTGACTATCTAGCAGCAGGGAGCAGAGAACCGTGCCTCTAGGACAGTGGGGAGAGACTATTTTCAGTGGAGGGCAGGCAGGCAGCAAGGAGGAGCAAAGGGTGCTGCAACTCTTGACTGATACTACAGGCAGTTCTCACATGTTCCTTAAGCCAGGAGGAGAGCTCAGATCAGTAAGTAGCGCTCTAGGCAGGCTTTACTCCAAAGGTGAGCCCACCCTGATCACTGAGGACATCCACTCGCTGGGACACGGCACAGACAGGCTGTGGAAAGATGTCCTTTAGGTACAGGCAGATCTTCAAGGCTGCTCCCCAACCTCCCCAAGGTCAGTGCACAGAGCAAGAGGCAGCCTTCCCAGAGCACCAACAATGGCAGCCTTGAGAGGTTCCCTGCAGACACCCAAAATACAGCTTCGTGCTGTGCATTTCAGGATGGCCAGAAGCTTTCCCAACACTGGGAACAACCGTTTCCCCTCAACCTTCTAGTTTAGGACTCAAAGAGTTTTACAGAGCAGGAGTCAGTCATTTATTGTTAGAAGCCATCTTTCCATGCAGCAGGAAGTCCTACAGTCATTCAGCTAACAGTAAATGAAGTCATAGCACCTGATAGACAGCTTTTAGCAGGCAGAAGCCTAACTTCACCCTGGTCCTCTCCTGGGGTGGGGTGCAGCCATTTTGATTCCATGGAGGAGCCAGGCAGGACACCCTGGACAGGGGACTAAGAGTGCTCAATGAATAGCCAAGCCCAAAGGTTCCTTCACTAAGGTTACCTTTCTAAAACCAAAGTAAATCTGAAGTAAATGAGAGGATTAATTCAAGGGCCCTATTAAATAGCAGCAAGTGCGTAAGATGCGCAAGTCTGCCAGTCATGAATGGGCAGATGCCACTGTGGTGCACAGCGGTGTTGGTGGCAAGGAGCACGTTTAATGGGATTAGTAGCCCCCTCCTCAGTCACACAGATCATGCAGCGTTAACTTGAGCTCGTGTGAGAGCAGGCGGTTTCTCTCAAGCTGGCTGTACAGGTGCTCTGCAGCAGCGACAGGATGAGGGGAAACAAGAGAGAAAAAGAGAGAGAAAGGGCAGGTTAGTGGAGGACCAAGCTGAGCACATCCAATAAGCTGTGTTTGTAACATCTAGGCTATGACACAGAACAAGCTGGGAGGACAAGGGTTTATCTTACTAACGTGGGTTCCAGCTCACAAAGATCACAGAGGAAACCAAGCGTGAGAAGAAATGGGCTTGTGAAGGCAAAGAAAGAGGAGAACATCAAGACATGCAGGCTGGGCTGGACCCAGGTCAGAAGAGAGTCTCAGGCTGCACTTTGCGTGTGGAGCACTGCAGAAAGAAGTAGTCCTACCACAGCTGAACCAGAAGCACCTTCCAAAGACAGCCATGCCACACAGCACGGGACTAGTGGGGTTTTAACAGGGACATCAGAAGAAAAGAATGGCAGCACCTCATACCTGAACCTGGAGGACGCTCCTCCAAGTACATACCCTTGGGCCTCACTTAACAACTTGCCACATCTAGACAAGGCCTGAAGGCAGGATCTGCTTCGGGGATGGGACAGAGGAAGGTCTGGAGCACAGGCTCCCGTGTTAGGTCTGTCCCAGAACAACTACATGAGTAGGATACAGCCCCTCTGCAGGGTCTCACCACCATTCCTCATTGCTTTCAATGAAGGAATAGCTTGCTCTTGAACAAGACGTGGCCAGGTAAAGTCAAGCTGTTCACATGGAGCAGCCAAAGCATGTCTCCATTTCCAGTGTCTCCCCCAGCCACACACAGTGGGGAAGCCCACATTCACCCAGCTCCCATCAGGACTTGCTCTAGCTGTACCACACACAGAAGGTAATAACGCTGCTTGTCCCTTCTCTAAAGCCACCAAGAGACCAAGCAAAGGCCAGAGAAGCCAACAACTTATGTCCCACAACAGTCAAAATAGAAGTTGCAGTATGTGGGACGGGTACATCCCATCCTGGCCTATATAAAAGCCTACCTCGCACATCAGCTGCTGCTGCTGCTAGGGGCTCACTCTTTGGCCTCCATGCTGACTCTGACCTAGGCACCCTGACACCAGCCTCCAGCCCCAGGTGATCAGGGCTGGTCGTGCATCCCCAGAGTGGCAGAGGATGGGAGTCAACTGCAATCACAAGCACAGCCCAGCTCAGGGTAACCAGCCTGCACAAGTCGGTCAGAGCAGAAGCCTCTCCACACCACCCAGAGCAGAGGTTGCATCACCCACTCATCCATGTACCACCCAGCATGGAGTACCAAGCAGGGAACGGGCCTGACACAGCCCAACCTTCAAATTCACTTGCAACACTACTGTGCCACAGCAGAGCCACCAGCTCCACACAAGGCAAGTCATAAACCCACACCTCCCAGGACCTCCCCATGAGGAAAGAGACCATTGCACAACAGTGCAATGGTGCCACCTTCCTCCTGGGAAAAGCTGACAACTCCAGCAACATGAGCTGACAACTGGAAGCCTCCACACACCCAAACACTTGTGACACAGAATCTAGACCCACTAATCCAGCTGCAGGTTTGGTCACTTGCTTTGTGCTCACAGGGCACAGAGTTCTTGCCCATACTCAAGGAGAGCCAGAGCTTTCCAAGTTGTTACCCTGTGAAATTCCACCCCCCAGGACCCAGCAGAGAGCAGACGGCCCCGACCCAGAAGACAGAGAAAGAACAGGCTGGGGCAGCTCAGTGTGTCTGAGCTACCCTCACTGCTAGTGCCATTTGTGTGGAGAAGAGAGTGGCACAAACCTGAGGAAACCACGGGAGATGTCCCAATTCATCAGGACTCTGCTCACGAAGGGCTCTTCGGGCTCTGGGGCAGATGAACCAAGCCAGAAAGGAGAAAATATGTGACAGCCACCCATGAGGCAGCACAGTCACAAGAGGCTGAGCAGTGTTTATGGAGCAGAGCAGCAGTGGTGATGCACATCAGTGGGAAGCTCCGTGCTACACTCCCAGCAGGATCCCAGCACCCTACACAGGGAGCACTTGGGCAAAGCACAGATTCCCTACCTCCATTCCTGAAGCAAGGATCCCTGTCCCCTCAGGCAGCATCTCACACCCAACCAGTCCTGTCCAACTGGAAACCAGCCACAGCTCACTCATTAGCTCAC